AAGCAGATAGCCATCTGACTTTTATGAACACTAGGTTTACAATAGCCAAAGTAATCTTCATATAGCCCATCATTAACGTAGTATGTTTTAGATTCTACTTGTCCAAATGAAGCAAAAAGGCTATACACATGATATAAACTATATTCTCGCTTAGAAAGTAATTCTTGTAGAGAACCTCTTATACGATTAGCCCATTGCTGAGGTGTTTCATGAGATCTAATAATAGACAAATAATCATATTGCTTTTCTATTTCAACCACTTTTTTAAACTATTCGTTTAAATGACTATTATAATAGTTAGCAACATGTTTCATATCATATCCAGGACGGAGATTGACAGGTTTAGATACAGCTTTATTATAAATATTATCTAAAATAATTTTAACCATTAATCCAAGCATTTTGATAATTATATGTGATTATAAACAATAAATAAGACTTATAGAATTTTAGTGATTTATAGTGTTTTAGCGAATATTTAGTGTTATAGCAGTTTGTAGCAAGTATATTATAATAAAATATCAGATTCATTTTTTTTTCAATTACAAGCATATCAAGGGTTTATATAAGGTTTATATCTGACTATATGCATATTCACATGCAGTGTAAGGGATTTTCTGATGTCATAATTCAGTTAAATTAGTTTCAAGATAATATAATAGCTAAAATTATTCTCAGATCCATTAATCAGAGGAGTATGACGTATATTGTATCACAGGAATTATCCTAACTCCCTGTCAGTTCTACGACAGTTCTTAAACACTTCTTCAATGCTATCTAGTAACTGAAATCATGATGGACGTATTGTTATCTCGCATCTTAACTATGAAAATATAAGCACTAAATTCATAATGAAAATTCAAATGAGAAAAAAATATTACACACACAAAATAAATTATAACAATTTAAAATGCATCGTCCAAAAAGTTTCGCCGCTGTACTAGATATCGTTCATGATGTTTTAAACATCCGCTTTGAATTTCTAGCTTTTGGCTCTTTGCTACCAATATCGAGTCAAGAGACATAGTAAACCATATGGGTGGTGTGCTATTAAAATTGATGTACGGATCATATGATTTACTTTGTCTTGTACCTCAATTTTAATAGCATACCGCCCATATGTTTTGTGATGTGATTTCAACAGGTTTATCGCAGAATCCTAACAGTAATGTCTAGAATCCTGACAGCATACTCCCGATAATCTACAATCCCGACACTAACGAATACCTGAAAATTCATATTTCCGACATGATAGGAGTAAATCCTAATATTCACGACTAATCCTAATCCTAACTCTAATCCATAATCCTAATCCTATCCTTAATCAGATACCCTAATTCCATACCCTAATCCTAATATGTGCCGGGATTTGGCTATCAGGATTTTGGACTGTTTTTCATGTGATCGATCCCGAATCGTATATGTTAAAGATACTTGTAAAAAACATTTCCGTTGCTTTTCGGAGTATTATAAAACTAGTCTTAATAAAATAGTAAACAACATTGACGAAGAACCTTATTTCCGAAGTGTTAGGAAAAATAAATGATGAATTGAACAATTTCAAAAAATGTAATTTCTACGATGATTTTTTAATATATGAATTTTAAAGTGAAATACTTATTGTAATTTGTGAAAATAAATATATTAATTATACATTATAACCCATGCAAATTAAATTACATTAAAAATATATACTTATTGATTGTCTTTTGTTAATCTATCCAAAGTTTTCGTATTGTCAGTGTCTCTTAATGAATTAATAGCTAACGCGTTCTAAATAAAACTACATAGATGGTACATTAAATTTCGACATTATATTAGTGACGACGCTTAATAACCGACTTAGTCTTTAGACGCTATGCACATTTAATTATAAATGTATATATAAATATTAAATCTATTTCATTCAACTTTGCGATTATACTGCTTTTATATACATATAATAATTTACTTTTAAAATACTAGTAAATATGATAATATAATACTTTTAAAAGTAAATATTATATTATTAATAGCTTAAATTGTATATCACTCCACGGCCAAAGTATAATAATCATATGCGGCCGTGTAATTATTTTAATTTTAACACGCAGTGTTCGGTTGCGTTAAACAATTGCGATATAGCAAGGAAAGATCATTGAGATAAAGTCTATAAAAGAAAAGACCTGTAGACTGTAGCAGAGGATTTTCAGCGAAGTCCATTAAAAATAGATTTAGTTTTAATTTTTACATAGTTACTTATCTTCAAATATCAAACAGCAAAAAACTTCGTTTAAATTCAGAACTGAATTCCAAGCAAAAACCATCATGATTGAGAAAATATTCATCGATTTCATTTGAGGATTTAATATGTTTTAGGAAGCCAATGAATTCTTGGAAATTAATCATCCGGAAAAAAAAATCTGTACACTTTCACGTGTTATAGATGTATATCAACTCCTCAGTATTTTTCAAAAATAAAGGCCGTTATATTATACAATTTTAGAAAAAAAATAAAGCTTGTTTTTACATATATTTCTCATGCAAATTTTTTGTATCACAAAAAAAAATTTGATTTAATGAGTAATTCTTTATAATTTGTATAATAATTTGTATTTTTATTTGAAGATTTTTTTTATGATTTCAAAGCTCAATTTATTTATGAATTAAACCATCAAAGCTGGAACGCAATAATCAAAAAATATATTCTAGATTTGGTCTTTTGTTATATTATTTGGGAAGTTATCGTTATGAGTTGATTTATATAGAAAGACTAATCATAATGATGAGTCTAGTTCATTATATATTTAGGAATCAAAACTCGCTACTAAATTTGGATTCTTTATTTTAATTTCTTCGATTCCTTCTGATAATTCCTTGTCTATTTCTTGATTGTATTCGAGATTCTATTAAATATTAAAAAAAAAAATTTGCAGATTAAGTAAAAAAATTATTTTACTAAATCACTTTTTTATTTCAAGTCATAGAGGAACGAATGCCCTCCTAATAATTTTTTTTTATCAAGGCCAACGACATTAAAGATAATAATTACATGAAATCTTCGACACGAAAAGTAGAATAATAAAAAAAACCCCATAAATATGATGTAAATTGTCCGGGTACTATGCATTAAGACACCAAATATTTTTTTTTATGGTATTATACTATAGGTGATATTAAAAAAGGTTGCGAATATCCGCAGTAATGACTACGATTTTATTTTCTCGACCAAATTTATTATTCGAAAGCTTCTTATTCTTTATATTCATTTATGTCATCATTACCACTATTCGTTACTATCGCTGCAAGGGGTAAGCAATTCAATTCCGATCAAAGCCACATTTTAACGTATATCGATATAACTATAGATCGGTCACTTTCTTATTTTAGCCAATCAGATTGTAATACGAAAATGAAAAAAAAATTTATATTCTGTATAAATTGGCTAATTTTTTTCTTTTCCTTTTTTTTTTAAGATTAACATTTAATCCTACCGCTTTATTTTTCCAATTTTCTTTATAATATCAATTTTTTATTATACAAATTTTATAACATGGGAGGGTTGCTATTAAAATTCATATGATTTACTATGTCTCGTAACGTGATTTTAATAGCAAACGACCTACTTCTAACAGCCACTTAAAAGCAAAGAAAAACACGCCCAAAGAGCGATAATTAATCGAGAAAAAATGAAGAAAAGAGAAAAGATACAGGAGAACTATATGCCGCACTTCTCAAGAAATTAGAAGAGTCTGAAATCACTCAAATGAAAATGGTTGCTGATAAAAACGCCGAATTTAAGATAACGCAATAAAAAATTACGAGAAGGTATCGAAGGTTGGGAAAACATCCATCGGCAGCAACATCCTCCTAATCCGTTAAAATATCTCATCCCAATTTTAATTTTAATTCTCATAATTTGGTGATGGATAATGTAACTAATGTTTAATTATAAGTTTATAATAAAAATTTATTACAATTATATCTAATAATTTTTTTTTTTTTTTAAGGGTTACCTTAATGAAAATTAAGGCATTATTATATGAGGTGAATGCTACGAAAAGAGACCAAATTTTTTTAAAATAATTAAAGTTCTGGATCAAACAATTAAAGTTACATCTAATTCACTTAGGAATAAATTACTTTGAAAAAAATTTCAATTAGGTCCCCTTTGCAGCACTCACTCCACATGCTGATTCTACAACCCTTTTAAAAAAAAAACCATTATTTTTTTCTTCCAAACTTCCGTTTTTTTAAAAATTCATTTTATTTACCATTTTTAATTTTTTTATTCTACTTGCTTACTTTGTGAATTCCTCTCTCCTCATTCTTTAAATCACTTAATCAACTTTGTAATTATTTTATAAAAAGAACCAGATTTTTACAGTATTTGATAAATTTTCTTTTTCGTTAACGCTTTTAATTTTATTTTTATAAAAGTTTTTATTGTTGAAAAAAATTAATCATTTGGAAAAATCCAAAATATTCCCATTTGCCAAACTTACGAAAATATATAGGAAGTTAAATTACATACAATTATTGCATCGATAAATTTCTGTAAAAAAGCATCACGTACGAATGGTATATAATTATGAGAATGGCTAGGGAAAATATATTCTGAATAGTTTGGAAATACGTATTAGGTTATTCATACTTCCACCACATTCTCTGGCCCTCGTCTGAAATTTTTTATAACAAATCAGGGATATTGTTGTAACTCTCAATCAAGAGTTAGTTGTTTGTTCCATGTTTCCTGCTTCGGCAAAAGCGTCGGAAAACTTGCTTATTGCGTTGCTAACCATATTTATCCAGCCCGAAAGTGTCTGTAAGCTTGCCGGAAGTTTTGATAGTAGAAATTAGTTTTGACGTATTGATTAAACTATTTTTAACAACATTTTGGAAATCCTGAGAAATTTAGAATTTCAAATCTCTGTCTTTGAAACATTCTCTAAGCCCAACGTTAAATTTTGCAAATTTAGTCAAATTTAAATATAGCTTACCTTTTGACTTATTTAATGTCTTCAAACTCCACTTTTAAGAATATTAGCATGATTTGTACCCAGCAGAGCTTTCTTTCGCAAATACTCATCGATATTTCTGCAAAAGATATATTTGAATGTCATTATGGTTGCAATCAGACTCTAACAAAAAAAAACTAGGTTACCGTCAACCCCCTTGTACCCCTTGTACCTACTTACTCCAAAGTCGAACTCTAGCCGCTACATCGTCCGTCCGCACTGGTACACTTGGTCTATGCAAGAAAAAAAAACAAAAATAATAAAAATAACAAATAAACAAATAAATCTATACCGACCTTGCCACTTCTATCAATTCTTCCACTTCTTCCATTTCCCCACTTATAAAATAAAGAATATTTTTTAAATTTATATTAAAACGCGAATATTAAACAAGAAATAATATTGTATAATTTTCATAATGAAAGGATTGTCTATTTTTTTATTTTTTATTATTTTATCGTTATATTAAAATCAAGCATGTCACTATTATAACTCCTCCTTTAAAACTTGATATACCTCATATTCTTCTATATAAAATTTATCATTTGTATTTCTTATCTTTTTTTTATAACTGCTTAGTTTACAATAATTATCATTAAATTTATCATTTGTATTTCTTTTATAATAATAATCATAAAATGATATATTTTTTTTATCTATATTCATAGCATCATCATCATCATCTGAATATGATATTCGAAGATCTTCACCAAAGGAGGGACCATCATTCTTATGACAAAATATTGGTTTACTCATGTTTTTTACACGACTTATGATTAAATCTTTTAGATTATCCTTATTCTTGAAAGAAAATATAAAACTATCTTTGGTTAACACACTGTTATTGGAATTATTCCATATTAAAGGATTATATCCACCAAGGATTTCATTTGTCCCTTTCACTTTGATGAATGTAACAGTATAAGGAATATTATCACATAATTCATGAAATTCATTGGGAGTGAAATCACCTCTGCTTCCCCTTAATAATAATTTAAATTTATATGGTAAATGCAACCTTGCATAAGTAATGCTTTTAATACTTAATTTATCAATACATCTTGAAATTAGTGAAATAACATTTAAATTTACGATTTTTGAATCAACCTTTCTATTTCTCGGTAGCAAAATATTAATATTTGGTTCTATATTAGAAATTAAATAAGATTTTAATAATTCTTCATAAAGTTGGGGATTTAAAATCTTTTTATAAGGGTGAACTTTAACAAAGAAATCTTCAGAAGATAAACTAAAAAATCTAATCAGGGGTAAACAACGTTGTAAGGTATTTGCCATCATTTTGAAATCATCATCTGACCAGGTTATAGGATCAGAAATGAGAGTAGGATTCTTTTCAAGGCCCCATTTTAATACGTATTCCCAAACTACAACTTCTTTCATTTGTAATTCATCTCTTTTGATTAATGAAATTAAAGATTTTTCAGGAAGCGATGTAAATTCCAATGATTGAAATATTTTATCAGGTGTTTTTGCCATTAAATCGGTACAAAACTCTTGAAGTTTCAATAAAGAATTCAATTGAAAACTTGTTCTATGAGTGAGCTCAAAATTTTGTTCCATCCATTCAGCTTTCTTTTCAATTAAATAATTCTGTAAATAATCAACTAGCTCTTGAAGAAGAAGCTCATCGGCAGCAGCCAATACTTTTAAAGTATCTGAAGTATCATGTTCCTTTAATGAAATAATTCCACCATAAATGTATCTAACGTCATAAAAAGTAAATGAATGATTAAAAGATGACGAAAGATAACACAAGACGATTAGCTTCAGGAATTTACTTACTTCAAAATAATTTGAAAAGTCTCTGGTGAAATATTTGGCAACTTGATATGAATTAAAGTTTCATTATTTTTTTTATTGGAAGATAACATTCGTCGCAAAAATGGAGAACGGTAACACAATATTATCATATGCGAGCGAAATATTTTCACATTCGGATCTTTGCCAACTTCAATTGTAATATCATAATATTCATCATCATCTAAAATTTCAATATAATTTTGGCTTAACTTGGGAAAAAATCGTGCCGACATTTTTTTAAAACAAAATTGAAGCACAAAAAAAAAAATAATAAATTTTAGGAATTAGCTTTTAAATAGTTCCTAGTTTGGTAATGTTGCTGTTGAACAAAGGTCAGCAGATAGATCTTATGTCATCCAAATGTGCGGCGATCTATTCAATATTCTGTATAGCTACTCAGCGATCGAAAAAGAAAAAATTTGTTTATCCACATATATTCCATTCTAGGGATTGGACTCGTCTTAAAAATCAAGACTGGCAGATGGGTCATCAGGTCACCCGGGTGATCAACAATTTTAGAATTTTACACGTTAGACCCGGATGAATTATATATACAAAATGCCGCACGATCAAATTTAATTATTTTATCATGAAAAATATTTATTATATGCAGTTAATGCATTTTATCAACCCAAATTTTAAAATTGAAACTGTACAAATGAATGTTATTGATTTAATTTTTTTTTATTCGGATATATTTCACGATAAATTATTCTCAATTAGCATTTTGGATTAACAAAATTGGTAAGGCAGGATTATTCGATTTTATTTTCACAACGGGTTACCCACCTACAATTACCCGGACTCTAAGATCACGACCCAGATATCTGACCCACCTGTGGGTAATCCAATTGCACCCGACCCCCTATCCTATGTTAATTACATTTTTATAAAAAATTAATTATCCTTTTTTAGAAAAATCCGGAATTTGTCAAGTATATATTGATTATGTTCGGAATTTATTTGATTTGAAAATTAGGTATAGATTTTTATTCCAAAAAATGTAATTTCTAGATATTTTCTGTAATGAACTTTTCAGTGACATTTTTTGAACATTTATTTGTCATAGGGCCTTTAACAGAAAAAATATCTAAAAAATAATAACAATATTAATGAAATAACAAATCCATATAAAAAAAAGACAAGGCTTACTAGAAGTATATGACTACCTGTTAAGAAAATTTCAAAAAGAAATCCAAGAAATTAAGAATTTGAATGGAGAAATCAAGCGCTCGATCGTTCTCGAATCTAATTATCTATGTTTATATAATTTAAACATGTAATTTTTCTTTTTCATAAATAAAATAGTTTGTAATCCTCATTAAAAATGAAAAATGATTAAGTTATTCCGTTATTTCCACATGAGAATAGGGATTGAACCCGACTAAAAAAACCCGAATGTTGTATTATCAGTGGTAGTTCCAGTCTCGGTCAGTCTTCAGACCTTTTCAGTCGACTTAGACGTCGACCGAGTCGCGGCTCTCATTTGAAAATTAACAACCATAATTAATTTCTTAATATTTAACTACAATTTTTATATTTAATTAATGTTACAAAAAGTAGATGAAGTTGATGATTATAAGTTTTAGCGAAATATAAAGTTATAAGGATCCTAATTCGGCTAAAAATATGAAACTTTTATTTAATTGAGAATTTCATGTTGTTCTGTCTGACATAATATCAATTTGGAATAGCGACTCAGTCACGGCTTAGTCATTAGAATATCCTTCAACGGCGTGTACTACAAGTCATCTGTTATCATGATACCCGGGTCCAGATTTATTCCCTGTATATTAATTCATTTATTAACTCCAAACTTGCAATGTAAAGATTTCTTTCAAATAACAAATAATTCATATTGCTAAACAGGACAAATTATAATAAATTTGTTACAGCATATAGATTCTTTATTTACACAACAAATTATTTTTTTCGAATTGGCATTTGGTTAGCTAATTAACATTTTTTTTTTATCCACATAAAAAGAAAATTGTTATCATTTGTTAATAATTTATTTAACGGATCTTGTAATTTCAATGCTAAATCAATCTGGATTACAAAATTATAAATTGATAATGGGTCTAATCGACTGGTTATCCACCTACAATCTAGGGCATTTAGATCATCTGGTTGTACCTACATGAGAAAGATAAAATTTGCATAAAGCAGCAAAAACAAGTTGCATATAAAATAAAAATAAAATTAGGTTGTAGAAACAATTTGTTGCAGGACACCATCTATGATTAATTGTAGCTTCTATTATTGGATTATTAAATATATTATATCACTTATCGCTCTAATAATCTGAATCAATTTGCTAAGTTATTAAATGCTTTAGTATCTTTGAGTAAATATCTTTGAGAAATTACTAGTAAATGAAATACATTTACAAGAAATGAAAGCTGGCATTTTTGATTGTGATCAATCAATAAATTCATTTCTCCATAAAAAAAATCGCGATTAATCGAAATCGACAATTGAATCTTAATAATCGATCAATTAATCGCGATTTTATATTCTATACTACTTTTTAAAATTGATTCCAATCCCTAAATGGTGGTATAATCATTCTATTATTAAATAAAACAATTTGTGTTTTGGGATTAGATTGAAAGTCATACAAAAAATTATTGTTTAACATTAGTTATAAAATTCAACATTAATTTAACGTTTAACTATTCATTATTATGCGTTATTAATAATATTGTAGTATTTTTTAAGAGTTACACAGTAGTATTACACGAAGTTGTGATTTGTAAAAAATAAATTCGAAGACAATTTCTTGTTTGCGACATTATAAACAACAATAATATTTTGTTATAATTATAGGTTCGAAACGAAACGAATAGAACTTGCGATAGAAAAATAAGCAATTTACATTCAAATATTTTTATATTTCTTCTTCAGCTTGGCAATAAATCCCTTACTCGGGATATCAATAAGCCCTTTTTCACGTAGAAATCATAAGGTACAGCACGCAACCGCAAGCCGTAAATCGAATTAGGTTTGTGTGGCTTGACTATTTATGACCAACAAACAAAAAAAATGAATGAATTTTAATATTTGTATACTCGGAATCCCTATGGCTCAGCTCAAATACAAGCTTTTGATCAGATTTAGGCTTGTCATGGCGTGACTTATGACCAAACAAATAAATGAAATTAAATTTGTTTATGATCTTTATGGAATATTCATTGTTTGGCTTTATATTACTCAACTCAAATGCCATTGAGTAGAATTTATCTTGGCTTAGCTTGGCTGTGACTCAATAACTGGTTCATCACATTGATAACTTTAGTTCGATTACGATATAAATACGCGTCCTGACAACTTGCGATTCCCATAACCACATCTCACTCAGAAATAAAAAAAATATTATAAAACATTGATTCAAAATCGTTAAAAACATCATGAAAAATCTTATTTTCATACTTGTCATCGCAATTGTAACCTTCAGTAGTGTCGTTTATGCTCATCCTTCCAAAATGGAAAACAATGAAAAATTGACGAAAAGACAAATGTCATGCGAAAAAACTCGTTTCGGGGATTGGATCTGCACCGAAGGTCAACCCAGTTGCACTGGAGGTGGTTGTATAGGATAGTGGAAATTTACAAAATATATTTGACTACATATAAAAGATTTAAGGAGATCTATTTCATTTATTTGTTTCATTTTTGTATTATTTTGTTGCTTTTATGTTTCAAATTATTTTCATGTAAATCTAGAAATTATCAATCATTTTTGAAACATTATGTCTCCTTTTAAATAATAAATTATCAATCATTTTTGAAACATTATGTCTCCTTTTAAATAATAAAAGAAATTGATCCGGGATTTAATAATTAATAATTATGAATAGAAATTTTTTTTTTTAAGTTGAAAAAATTGATGTAACTTTTTATCGAAAGATAAATCGAATAATAAGATTGATTTGTTGCTTAATACAATGACATAATCGTAAAAGACTATATATTGAGAGTATTGAGTCTTCTCTTTCACATTTGTTTGAGAGTGTCATTGAACAGGGACGTATTAATCATTGTCATAAAGTTGGATATGGACAAAGCGTTTTCATCTTGACCGAATTATTCTAGCCTTCGAAGATTTTTTTTTTAGATAAATAATGGATAGAAACGAAACCGCAGAAAATGGACTTTGTTTTAAGATCGATGCAAAATTTTAGAAGAAAAGCATCGATAGCATCATCGATGTATCTTATAGTAGAATGTCCATGTGTTTGAGACGCTAGAATTACTCGTCATGCATCCTTTGTGCTCGTGACCAAAAATGTTTAGAAATCATGGCGCATGTAATTTATATTTGGATAAAAAATATTTAATCAAAAATATGATACATATTCTTCCGAAAATGAGCAACCCCCGAAAATAAGCAACTCCCAAAATAAATTAATACCCGAAAAAAAGCAACATTTGATGATATCTCGGTCAATATCCATCCTAAAGTTATGAAATTTATACCATTCGATTCCTTATTAAGACGAGTCTTATGAGCTAAATTTTATTATTCTGTGATTGTTGTTAGATCGTCGATTGAAGTTTTGATACTAAAAATAATACATACCCGAAAATAAAGTCTTATTTTTGGAAGTATACGGGTAATACAATAATTTATTTATTTATCATTAAATGAATTATGAATTGCTTGCCGAACAAAAAATTTTTTTTTATTCGACGAGGGGGTGGTTTAGTCAGCGCTCTACGGTAGTTGCCGACACCTCTTTCCTCGTTTGGCGAAGAATAGGAAATCCTGAACTCTAACTTAAAAGAAATATTATAAATATACACTAAAGAAAGAAGAAACAAGGATATTTTCTAATTGATCGCATTAAGTTTTACCATTTAAGAATGGAAAATTTGAAGCATTCGATATTCAGAATAACCATGAGGCGCAGCAACCAACACTTTCTATGGAAAATAAATTACATTTTTTGGGACAAATTTATATACGGAATTTTTAATCATCCGGAATTTAGTTTAGTATTCCGCATAAAAAGGCTGTCAAAAAAGTAATATATTAAGGTTCTTGGCTCGATCCAGTTGATTCAAATGGTTGTTAGACTTATTTCTTATGTTATTAATAATGGATAGAAAATCCAAAGTTGTAAATTATTTAATGAATTTACAGCGTCAATTTATATTCATTACAAGTTGAAGAAATAATCCTTCTCGATTTATAATATTATCTTCATTTTGTAACTTTTTCGAACATGATTCAATTGCTGAACTTGTCTGAAATGTATGAGCATCAAAAAAATTTAGCATTTTTTAGTGTAACGCCAACAAAACCGAAATATTGTACCTTTGTAGATCTTTCTGGGTGTGTCAAAAGTTCAAATTAATAAACGAAGACGGTAACCAATAAATTAAACAAAAATGATGTTATAGAAGTAATTGTTTAGCTTTTCACGCTATATTTATCTTTTTTTGTTTTGTAAAAAAAAAAATTATAATTTAATTTTGCTTATTGGCTTATTTAGAGTGATACAGAAAACGGATCGCAATGATTGGAACTGTATTTTAGAAGACTAACCATATTAGTCGAATAACAATGTATATATCAGTCAAACAATGACAAATATTTGTTTTTCCAAATCTCTGTCTTCTTTTCACCCTTCAATTTTTTTCCACCATTTGAAAAGTATAAAACTAAATTTCGCGTCCCAAACTTTTCAAGCTTACGCTTCCTTATCAATTATTTAGACAGAGATTTTATAACATCCTGAAACATTTGTTAATTCTCGTCAGAATTTACAAATTGAAAATGAGCGAACGAACTGGTATGATTCTTTTTGGACTCACTGGGCAAGGAAAGTCCTCTATTGCAAATATGCTGATTCAAGGTGACGTTTATCGGGAAGTCACTGCGTTCAAAGTTAATGAAGGTACTGCTGGTGTTACGATAAATTCTAGGGTTAATGATAAATTTATAGTGTATGATTTGATAGGAATAGATGAAATAGTTGAAGGAAGCGTTCCGCATAAGAAGATTATCGAAAAGATAAGACATGGTTTTGTTACGCGTCAGGTATCATTCAACTATATAGCCTACGTTAAAAAGGAGGGTAGATTTACCGAAGAAGATCGCAAAATGTTCAAATTATTTAAAGAGATCTTTAAGGGATGCGAAAATAATTTTATCATCATTATCACTAATAGTGAACAGAAATGGGTCGAAAAGAACTTAATTACAATAAAGGAGAAATTTGGAGATTATCCGATTATTCCGGTCGACTTTCCTCGAAGTGAAGAAGAAAATGACGATATTTATGATCGTACCATTAAACGAAATAAAAGAATACAAAATCTGCAAAGTTTGACAGAAAGGCTTTTGAGTTTAAAACGCGGAAGTATTAAACTTCAAGCTCTTGACTTGCATCAAACGACCGAGAACAAAATTGCTCAAGTCATTGATTTCATTCCAATAGCCGGTTCGGCATATCAACTGATTTCTTCTGGTGTTTACTATAGTATGGGAGAGTCAAAGTTAGCCAAAGAACGTCTTATAAATGGAGTTACCGGGGCTGTTATGGATATCGCAAGTGCTGGTGCTCTTCGAACTGGTGTATCTGCGGGAAAGTTAATTGTTAAAGGATTGGTGAAAGGCGTTGCACAAGATGCAGGTAAATCTGCGTTTAAAGTATTAGTTAAAGGGGCGGCGAAAAGCGTTGCACAAAGCGTGGCCAAGGAAGTTGCACGAATAGCAATTAAAAAATCTACAATAGATAAATGATGGATCTGGTGCTATTATATTAAATAACAATAATATTTTCGCTTATTATATATACACTCATTATACACCAAAAAATTATCAGTCTACAATAATAATAATAATAATAATAATAATAAATGACAAAATTGATTATCTAGTACTTCTAGTAATTTAATCGCCGAAAAAAAAAAAATAATTTTATTTATTATACATATATATTTAATTTTTTTTTATTTATGATACTCCTATAAATATCAGCACAAATTGTCCGGTATGTTTGAATAATTTCGGAAAATGACAAACACATTCGAAACGTGCCAAAATACGGAAGCAGCAACTGAATATTAAAGCTTAGTCTATGAGCTAGCTCGAAATCTCATATCAAAAATGTCTATTTAATATATTTTTCTTATTTACGTAATACCAATATTTATTATACAGTGGTGAAATTAGACGTATTCTTTATGAAAATGCCTAATTGTTAAATAATTTTGAACACAACCTTTTTGATTAGCGCACCAACTAGCCCACCCATCAAATTTTATTAGAAATCGAAATTAAAAAAATAGAAAAAAAAATTATATGCAACTAATTGTACCTTAATATGGAAATTTCATCTAATTTGGTTATTAAAGAACCTTGTACACTTTACCGTGATCAGACAAGCGGGCCAATGAAATAAATTTTGAAATAAATCCTCCTTTTCTATTGACAATCGTTGAATATTTGTATTGTTCTTCAAAAGATTATCATGCGAAAATGAAGGTCGGAAGTCTAAGAAAAGGTTCCTTTGTTAAATTTCCCAGTTTTACGGATGTAGAAGTACAATCTTTGTTCAAAAGATCTTTATTACGAATGATATTCATTTCTAGAAACTTGAAACTCTAAAAAAATCGGATAAAACATAGGTTTTTTAAGAGAACTTTGCACAATTATTCATGAGCTTTAGTATTTTTTGCAATTTTAATTAAAGAATCGAAAGTTTTTGATGACAGAATTTTTTTTTTATTTACGAGACGAGAATCATTAATTAATAAAACCAAGGATCTTTCCAATCTGTAACTAATTTAGAATTACCTTCCAACCTGGCACAGGAGATTAACCATATTAGTCAAATAATATGTATATATCGGTCAACAATAACAAAAGTCTATAATATTTAAAGACTCGTTTTCTGACTCTTTGTTGTCTTCATTCTTCTTCGAGTATCTTAAATCCAACATATTTTTTTAAAAATAAATATTTATAAAGACCTCCTCTCAAAATTCTGACCCAACGTTGACAAAAGCTAATTCGCGTTCATGCTTTCAGCTTTCAATCGGTCGATTTAGGGCGCTTCTGATATCCATATTATCCAGATTTATAAAATCGAATATGAGTAATTCGAATATGAGTGAACGAAACAGAATTGTTCTTTTTGGACTTGCTGGACAAGGAAAATCCTCAATTGCTAACATGCTGATTCAAGGTGACATTCATCATGAGGTTAATGGCAATGAAGGCAATTTAAATAAGTTTAAAATTAATGATGGTGCTGTTGGTGCGAGTGTTGAAATTATATGTGGCGTTAATAATGAATTTGAAGTTTATGATACGATTGGTGTAGGTGAAACAGATGCTGGGAGTGTTCCGCATAAGAAGGCTGTCGTAAAGATAAGAGATTATTTTACGAGATGTGAAGTTCAACTCAACTATATAGCTTACGTTAAAAAACAGGGTAGATTTACTGAAGAAGATCGTAAAATGTTTAATTTATTTAAAAAAATCTTTGAGGGAAGTGATAAAAATTTTATTATCATTATCACTAATAGTGGACAGAGATGGGTCGATAGGAACCTAAACACAATAAAGGAGAATTTTGGAGATTATCCTATTATCCCGGTAGATTTTCCTTGGAGTGAAGAAGATAGTGATGGTGCTGTCTTTCAGCGGGGAATAAGAGCAAAAAGCCTGCAAATTTTGGCTGATAGGCTCTCAAATTTACCTTACGAAGGTATTATCCTTCAAGTCCTTGGCTCTTTCCAAGTGATCGAGAACAATGTAGCTCAAGTCATTGACATTGTACCAGTTGCTGGCTCGGCATACCAACTGATTTCCTCCGGTGTATACTATAGGTTGGGAAAGACAAATGTTGCGAAACAACGAGCTATAAATGGGATTACCGGGGCCGCTATGGATATTGCGTGTGTTGGTGTTCTTCGAGTAGGTGTATCTGCGGGTAAAGTAGTGGGGAAAAGTGTAGGAAAAGTTGTCGCTAGAACCGTAGGTGTGGAAGTGGCGTCGAGAGCCGCACGAAACCTATATAATTATTTCAAATAATTGAACCTGACGGTTTCTAATGTTAATTAAAATGTATTACTTATACTAAGTATATTCAGCTATTTTCTAAATAAAATATTTACGAGTATAGAAATTCTTTTATAATATTCACATGCATATCGTTACTAGCAAACGAAATAGTTTGTCTCACAATTTTTTCAATAAAATGAACAAATTCCGGATTTCGATATATCCGGAATTTGTGCCGAATCATGAAAGACCGGACATGAAAAATTCCGGTCAGAATGAACTAGACAAATTCGGATGTTCTAAAAAAGAATAACTAATTTAATAAATTTTTTACAAAAAAACGTAACCTTTCTTATAAGTAATCCTGCATAATAAGTAAAAATACTATCTATGATAGAATTTTCATAGCGCACATATAAATGTGCTTATTTTTTTTTGTTATTAAAAATTCCGTAGATACAGTATTTTCCGGAAATTTGTTTTTCATAAAGATGGAGAATTTAATCCCCGATCGAGTTTATGTATGGAGGAAGGAATCATCATCATCATCATCAAAAAACAACATCACATCATCTTGTGTGTGATCATCTAAATTTACATTATATCTAAATTTTTATTTGCCATAATTTAAATTTTATCATCTCCAAATTTCTCATCATCTAAAATCTAATTACTCTTCTTTATCAACATCGATTCCTTTCAGTTTTATTATCTAAAAAATCTGATAGAACCGATTTTATATTAATTAGTAGATTCATTAGCTTGAGGGTCCTGCTAAATTACAAGATAATTACGTCTTCAACATCACCATCACTTTAAATTTCTAACGCAGATAATGATAAAATTCATTCAAATAATCCTCTGGTTCTTTTATATAATGAAAATCGTAAGTTTATTATTTGATCTCAACTTTTCCAAACAAAGTAAACTTCAGCGGATCTTGATCTTTGGTGATGAATCATCGACAACATATTCATTTCATTATATGGAATTTTTTAAATTAATTTATCAACTGAATATGAATTTAAAAGATTTTTCTTGTTAAATACCTCTAAAACAGTCATAATCAAAAGCAAATAAATCATTTATCTGATTCATGATCAATTTACCTTGACAATCAACTTTAATTTTAACAGATTTCTTGAAAGAAGTCAGATCAATTATTAATGTTAAAGCTTCATAAGCATCATGATCATGTTTTGTTAAAAATTAGTACCAGATATCTAACCGTATATAACATATGCTGATTTTCATCCGAAATTTGAAAGTATATTTCTTACCACTAAACTTTGATTAACTATCACATGCATAGGATTAAAAAAAAAATTGCTAGAGAAGAAAATAATAATGTAAATCATGTTTAATTTATAATTTATATAACATTTCGAAAAAAAAAGTAAAAATTTTTTAAAAAAGTCTCGCTACCTTTATAAAATTAATGATGTAACAAATTTCACAACAGAATTAGACGCACAATATAATTGTGCAGCAAATTTTCATTTAATTCTGTTAAAATGAAATAAATAAAACCTAACCTCGGTTATTTAATTGTCGATTTGTGAATTGTTCAGCCTCAACTTTTTCACATCTATAACACTTAATAAAATAAAATAAAACTTGAGAACAAAATATGAATATCTCAATCATATGTAACGCGACTAACATAAGAGGATTATCCAACTAGTTATCTATGAATTAGAATAAATAAATAAACAGAACCATTACATTATATACGATACTGATTAATGAAGTAAACTCATTACCAGCATTAGGAGGCAATAAGGCTCGCAGCTAGTAATACTTTATAAGTTAATATTATACCCATAAAAATATTCCTATAAATGGTGTTACACCAAAACGACGATTCATTTGAATAAGGTTTAGCCCAATCTAATAATTCAAATATCTGTGATAACGAATAACATCATCCGACAGAAATATACATGATCGTTTTAAAAAAATGATTAAATTACCTTTGAATAAAAAGAAAGCAATAATCCCCAATAATGCTTCCAAAAGGAAATGATACTGTTGTGATTGCTAATTTCGTTGAACTAAATGATGGTAGTAATTTTATCGCTAAAAAAATTATTGTAATTACATGGTTCAAGATTAAATTTAAAATTAGAATGTTTGCAATTAAATATTTTGAAAATTCTCTTAAATGATAAAGTTTTGGAAGGGTTTTAAAAAATCTTTTGATTGAATATGAATAAAAAGATTGCCCACTGTTATTAAGAGGATAAATTGTTAGAATAATTATCCTAGTCAATTAAGTTTATAACAAAATTCTATAAGATAGTTACCTTGATAAGGGGGGATTCTTACGATTTCGCATCATGTAAAGGGGAATAGTATAAATCACCATACACCATACGCACATAAATGCAATAGTGACTTGTTGATTATACGTGTCATAGTTCATGATCTTGGAAATTCCCATCTGTATGAAGCAAATTAAAATGAAACAGCCGAAACCAATTGCCACAGAATGGGTGGTAAATGTGGTTGAAACTTTGTCTTTAAGATTAGTCATTTCTTCATGTGATAAATTATTTGCTTTGGATTCTATAACTTTAGAATGCATGCTCGTATGGTTTGGAATATATGCAAAATGCTATATGTGTGCTAGCAATGCTATTTATTCAAAAAAAAAAACGAAAGCTCTTGTTAGGTCATACATATAATTTAAAGGAAAAGAGCTACTTACGATATGATGCTTAAATTCCAGCGAGCCAATGCATTTCTAAATTTACATAAACCATTCATATATTTAATATGTAAGAATTAAAAGAAAATATGCATACGTGGATTAAGAACTAATAAAAATAAAATATTCGACAACGCTCCCAAATAAGAAAAAATAAAAGAAATTTCTTACGATATCCTATTAAAAGGTACAGTACATGTTATTTAAACTTCAACAATATAAATGAATTTGATATTTTATAGTGTACCCATGGTCTGCAAGAGATCCGAAAGAAATATAAATCATACAACTATCGTAGTGATTGCAGATATTTATTATAGTTTGCCGTATCAATATACCAAAATCCAAATTTCGTAACGCATTTATAACCTACAACTTCCTATAAACCATTAGAATTAGAATCAAGTTTTTTTTTTATTTTCATAGATAAAGAAATATTTTGATTACCATTCTGCATGGAGTCACACAATCTATATAAGCCGTCAATCACAAAATAAAGAGGAATTAGGATCATTAACTATTGAATAATGAAAATAATGATTATGTCTTTACCAATCATTGGATAAATGCTCCATACTAATAAAATGAAAAATCAAATATTAATTAAAATGATTACGACGTACAAAAAATATATTATTCTTATTTTAAAATTTACTGATATAGCTTCCATCCGTTTAGCTCTCTATTCGTTAACACATTTCTGTTATTATCAGATAGTGAATTTGTAGAATTTCTTGTTCGTCCAGATTTAAGGTGACAATGAAAGGTGGTTTTTGTTCAACGTACTCTTCTTGGGTTAATTGAGGCATTATCGTTATATATATACTTTTAACGAAAAGTATCGAGTTTTAAATAAAAAATTCTTTTTAACTTAATTGAACACGTGAATTTCATAAGTAAACAAATTACAAACGAATAACATGCGCCGATATTCTTAATCCAAACATGTTTAATTTCAAATAAAGGCAAGTAGCTATAATTGGCGTATATTTATGATATTTGAAATATGAGAATAAATTAATAAGCAATCTGGTTGAGAAACTAAAATTCTAAGGGAGGTTTGATAGGAAAGGGACTCTGAGTATTTTTTAATTTTTAATCAATTATCAAAAATTAAAATGCAATAAAAATTTAAAATTTTAATAAAAAATTCTCAGAGCCCCCATTTTCCTAGCAAACCTTATGATATGCTATTCTGTCATTCAACACATTCCCTTCATTTCATGATCGATGTATCGTATTATTTTCATTTGAATTTTCATTAAATATTTCTAATTTTCAATCTCATTGAAATAATATATTATTTGACATATAGATTTGGTATATAATAAAATTTTCTCTTCTCTTTATAAATTCTTGGAAGCGTTAATTTTAAGTACAAGTGATCCTTTCCTATTACAAATAATTAGAATTAGCAAGAAACAGATGATGATCATTAAGGAAAGCGAACATAACATAGTAGTGATGAAAGGCATGAAAAGGGATATTACACAATGATGCAACCAGGTTTGTTTAAAATTTCTTTGCTGAATTTTTAATTAAAATAACTTTAATTCTAACCAATTTTTAATTTAATATAACCAAAGTCAATAAAATTAACTTAAATCAGCTTTATTTTTTTATAATTTTGTCTGAAATTAGTACGATTCGATTTTAAAACACTGCTGACCAATCTCGAATTGAGATATCAGCAGTAAATAAAATACTGAAACATTATGAAAAGTGATACCGCATTTTATTAATTCCTTAAAAAAGATATAAAATAACATACAAACAATTCAAGGAGTGGCTTAGCTGCCTTGACAAGTTTATAAACAATGTGGCACTATAGATTGTGATAAGTGATAAGTGATAAAAATCATTAGTCAAACTAACTCTCTGCATGATCCTATAGTAATTAAATTTATTGAAAAATGCATTATTAGCATCGAAAATCACAAAATATTAAAACAAGCAAGCATGTCATACGCTTACTTACATCTATAAATATTAGATTAATTTGTATTCTAAAAAATAAAGATTATAATACAAATGTTGCTAACTAATTGTTTGTTTATACTTAAAAATTGAAAAAATATTTTGTCTATTTTTGATTTTTAAACTGGAATAGAAAATTGTTTTCAACAGCTTCGATTTTGATATTTGAAACAATTCCAATCCCTAGCTTGAATTACATGTATGTATTAAAAATTTAGTATTTTCGTCACAGATTTTTTGTATAAATATGAAGGAATAAATAAAAAAGGTAGAAATCTATAAAATTTAGTCAGAATATTTTATTGTTTGCGTTAGTATCAGATGAGTCGGTTTATTTTATTTTTAGTTCACTAATCGAATTTCTTTCACGAACTTGTATCTTTACTTTCCTTTAAGTTTATCTTCGGGTAGGATCATAAAAGGTTTTATTTATTTTTATTATTTCTTTTAATTATTTTTTACTTTATTTTATTTTTTATTTTTTTTATTTCACTTTCGGTTTAGCTTATTTAGGAACGGGCATTTTTTATTATTCTCGTTTTTTAGTTTTCATTCTTTTCTAATTAACATTTATTTTGTCTGTTCAAACATTCCCGTTTTTATAGTTTGTGTTTCCGCTTTGGTTAATCATTACTAAATTCATTCACTCATTCCACTTTTCTCTTTTTTGGGAAATTTGTAACACAAGCATTTAAAATCTGCGTTTAGATATGCATATTGCATCATTATAATAAAATCATAAAAAAAAAAAACTCTTCCGTGCACACATGAAAAAAGTTGGAAATAATAAAGGAAGCGGGCATATTATACCTTTGCATTCTTCGGGTATAATTTCTGAGGCAGATTTGGTTAACATCCAAACTAAAGATGTTGAAGGCATTTTTCAAGTTTTAGAAGATCCTAACAATCAAGAATATAAAACTTTGGAAGGATTAGAAGGTAAATAATATTTACATACAATAAATAAAATGATCGACATATCAATTTAAAAAAAACTTATTTCTTATGTCTGATAATAACAATATAAAGATTTAAGGGTAATCAATAGGCCTAAAAATGTATTTGACCAAACAAAAAAAAGGAAGGAAAGCGAAGAAACTGAAATTGGTAAGAATGTATTATACTTAAAACAAACTTTATCTGACAATTAAAACTAAAATCAATTGGCATGCAAAGATTTTTTTTCATTAGAAGGTAATTTATTCATTATATCATTCAATTAATACAATAATTCGTTAATTGACTCATTTGTTGTTCCTGAATTTTGAACATAGAGCCACTTTCTGGTGATAAAGGTAATAATTTTAATAATAATTCTTCAAGATACTCAATATTTTGTTCACTTAAATTTCAATAAATTTGATAGAAATTAAAATAAAAAAAAGGAAGAAAACTGTAATTGGTAAGATTGAAGTTTACCTATTATAATTAAATCAAATTTATCTAACAATTAAAAATAAAATCAATTTGCATGCATTGATTTTTCATTAGAAGGTATTTATTCATTAATACAATAATTCGTTAATTATATCATTTGTTCCTGAATTTGAATAAAAATATTATTTTAATAATTATAATTCTTCAAGATACTCACTTAATTTTAATAAATTTGGTAGAAACTAATATTAGTAGTTCCAATATTATTCTCAAGCCGAGTTTTCCACCTACTTTGACAAAATACGACCTTGTTAACATAATTAAGAAAACGAGCAAAAGATGTGTTAAAGCTCGTATTCCAAACGCCTTTTTACTTTACAGAAATGAATTATTAAAGGAATGTCGGAATAAAAATGTCGAATTACAGATAAGAAAGGTTTCAAAAATCGCATCACGTTATTGGAAAAATGAGCCACCATTCGTAAAAGAATTTTACCAAAAACTAGTTGAGGATGCTAAATCTTTGTATAATCTTAACAATTTCGAATTCGAATTTGATAAACATGTTGAGAATGAGCAAAGAAGCGGACAGGTTACGACTTTGCATGCAGCGGGTTTAGCAGATTTGAGTTATACCCAAGCTAAAGATGTTGGTGATATTATCCATGTGCAAAATTCTTCAAGTGGATTCCTTGATTTTAATGATGATGATATGGATCCTTGTTTTTATAACGGTTCGACTGACATTGGAATTTATCACGATGATAATAGCTTTTTAGAATTTCCTTTCAGTCAAGAGAATAAAACTTTAGAAGAGTTAGAAGGTAAATAATATTTACAATATATCAATATTGAGCTATTATTTTAATAATTAATTTCAAAGATTTTTTTTAAAATGGAACAAACATATGATGGCAGAGCCAATTTCAGATGCTCCTGACACCCCTACATTAAAAGAATCGAATGGTACTAAATTTTACATACATACTGTCAAATCATTGTAATTTTTTCTTTTTTTTTTTTTTTAAAAAAAATATTTTTTAATGAACTTTAAACTACTATATATAGATTGTAAGTTATTGATTTTTACTATATTTTGACACGAAATTTTGAATTTAATTTTTTTTATTAAATATTTTAATATATAGGGAGTAAGTAATTTCTATACTTCATCTTGTAATTTAAGCTTAAATCTTTTATTAACAAATATATTTAATGGCAAACAATGGTATTATAGTTAATAATCTTTTTAACTCCATCCATCTTAATGAACCTACCGTTAATATTCGTTGTGGTAATGGATTAAATGTTAATTGTAATTCAAACTTGAGTGATAATTCAGAATTTATTTCAACAAAAGCAAGCTTTTCTCCTGGAATTTCTGCTACTTCATATATCGAAATTGAGAAGTTGCAGAAATTACTCCTTAGCCGAAAGGATTATATCGATCATTTATTATCATCGCAACCTGTTTATGCTATAGGAATTGATTTTCATCATGAATCTATCAAGCCATGTATTTCTTGCTGGGTTGTTAAACCATTAGACATTTATGTCCTGGAATGTCTTGAAGCCATGTTTGAGAATCAATTTGAAGCTATATACCAAATATCTATTCCTGATAAAAGTGATTTTATTCAGAATTCAAGTGAATCATCAAGTTATGATCACATTACTGGAGAATTTAACAGTAGTAATTCAACGAGAAATTCTCCTTCAAATGATGAAGAAAGTTCGAAGAAAGGAAAAGAATCAGTCAAAGAGGAAGAGAATGATAAAAGCAGTAATGATAATGGAGGAGTTAAGTATAATCGAAGTGGTAATAATGGTTATGAAAATGATAATAATGGGGGTGGTAATGGTAATGGAAGTAATGAAAGTAATAATAATGATAGCGGAAGTGGCAATGAAAATAATAATAATGATTGTATTAATGGTGGTGATGGTGATGACGATTGTGATGATGGTAACGGACAAAATGAAAATATTACTATCTCTTCTGTTGCGATTGTTAATACTGACGACCCAGAGATATTTCAAAAATTTACCATCGTTGCTCGTCTCCAAGCTGACTTTTCTCCCCCTAACCTGGAATATGAAATAGATTTATATTCCTGCAAAACAGGAAAAATGCTTAGTTATAACTTGCCATTTTATAAAAGGCGCGGTCGTGGATATTTCCTTGATTCTGTTGAAGTTTGTGTTTCTCCAATTCCATGTATACCTAATGATAAGAATGATTTGTTTACATCATTAAACACTGCATATCCACAGCAGTTAAATCGAACTATTGAAATTTCAAATGGTCGTGAAACAGGCTTTGAGGGACAAATTAGCGGAGAGTTCGGAGCAGTGCCTAGAGTCTCAGGTCAAGCAAAAGTTGGTTTAAAAAATGCTACAAATACCAAATTCACATCAGATGAGTGGGAATTGAATTATAGTGGTTGCCATACTACTGGAGATTCTTGGTCATATAGATATGTCGCTAATAACCTTGACAACGATGGTAACCGCAGAACAAGTTATGTTCCTGGTTGTCATTCCGCTAAGTGGCAAACTAAGAAAAATATGCGCGGATTTCGTATTAATATTACTCAAGTAATACGCTATAAGATTTACACATTGCTACAAAAACCAGAATTTATTACGTGCCCTGTTATTGCGCATAATCTTGAAATAGCTTTTAACAATTTTGAGGACTTCAATGCAAAATTTGCAAAATTAGCAAAGTCCAACAGAGGTACTTATTATAATGATGATAATATTAATTTAGGAGTTACAGATATTCAGAATTTATTTGGGAAAATCAAAATCGAACGTTCATTTATTACCAAAGGCTAATTGAGTATATTTCCTATTATTTCTTTAGCAACAATCTTTGATTTATTGTTGATCTGCATTGCAGTATTTAAAATTGAAATATTTATTAATCAAGTAATGAAGTCATATATTTATTCTAAATTATTTTATCGTTATATATATAATATATATTGAATTGTTCAACACTGATTAGAGTATATGAACCCTTTCTGTTTCATAAATAAAATCAGTTAGTAAATTGAGCAAGTTACATATTAAAAAAAACCTGAATTATTATGTGTTTTAAATGGATTACTGTATTTAACTTATAAAACGACATGTCTAAATTTGAGTGATACGGAAAGTTGTAGAGTATGGTCGACCAAATGAGTATAGTATATCACGTGAAATGGGTTTGAGTATATTTTACTAAACCTAGCAATTAAGTATAAAAAGGTCATACCATACAATACTCAATTGATCGACCTTTCCGTCTTACCTCTAAAATTTTCTTCGGTTAGCAGAAGGAAATTATACATGTATCATTCAGATGTCAGTCAACTTTTCCATAAGTTATGTGACACATGGAAAAGTTTTGATAGCAAATACTAACAATTTGACTGGGTAACGGGTTGTCGGCAACTTGAAATAATAACAAATACTCGAAGTTTTATATATATAGTTGTAATCGTATTTTATTTTCACTATATTTTTTTGGCAATCTCAATCAAAAATTACCGAGTGTCCCGTAAATTAATGAGAACTTTTGTTTTTAAAATTTTGAATCCTAATTCTTCAATGAAAAGCTATTTCGTATTAATACCTGAAGTAAAATATATGTCAATTTGGATAATCGGTTTTATGAATACCGCTCTTTTTCTTAATTACCTTCGAGGTGTACTGTAGGGTTTCTTTTTATATAACACAATCTTTATTAGTTGAAATATAATTGGAATAATGCAATGAGGCATCATTCATTCAAGTAAATCATAATTGGTGACTAAAATGAGAAAACAAAAGATTTAAAAGATATTTTCTGTTCTAAAGTTGATTTGTCAAGGATTGAAAATATAGGAATTACTCAAATTTTGAATTTTGTTCTTAAAAGGATAAACAATGAACTTTCAGTCATGATTTCTACATATTTCAGATTTTTTTTTTGCTTATTTATGATAATGTTCACCGTATTAGAAAAAAATATTAAATCATATACTGTATAACATCGATTTCACCCCTAGTTAACAAACAACCAATTTTGCCATCTTAATCATATTTAATTTATTACAGAAAATTTAAATTTCTGCACTAAAGTGAAGGAATTCAGTAAGACATGATTTTTCCTTTTAAACCAATTAACGTTAACCTATAATGTCAATTGGTCATTTCTTTCTAAACACCCACCCTATGAAATTTGCTTATATTAATTATTGTCTTTTTTTAACATTGTGTTGTGGGTTTAATCAAAATTTATATTAATTTAATCTAGTAGAATTTGGAAATTAATATTCCAAAAATGATTTAAAAAAATTTCTCAGTACATGATTTTATAACTTCTTTTGTATTATTGTAATAATATCCTTATTTTCTAAAGAATATATATAAAAAATATATATATAAAACATTTGAATTTTTATAAATATAAATAATGCAATGATTTTTTTATATTATTTTGCAGAATTATTAAATAGAAATTAAAGATCCATGAAGAATGGTTAAAAGATTATTATTTTGTTAGCTATAATTTTTATAGCATTATTACAATAAATTCTTTGTTAAAATCAAAAAAATCAATTAGACAGGAATGTTTCTTTAATTAAAAAAAAATTATTTTTGACAAGTGAAAAAAAAATAAAGCCAAAACAATTTAAAGCTTTATTTAAATAAACCGCCCGATTAAAGCACCCCGACCGACATGTTCAAAGTTATTTATATTATAATCGAAATCGTTCTATTTTTTAGGATCGATTTAATCCCTAGCTCGATGTCTGAAATATTCAAATCGATATATTCGTTTCAAAAACTAGGATATACGCAAGTCCAAACTTGACGATATCTTGGAGACCTCTTCAGAATCTGGCATTTGATTATTTAATTATTATTTTAAATTACAATTATTGAATTAAAACATTAATTAAAAATCCAAAGTTTGTATTATAATTTTATTACATATCATATATCTTAGGTCATTTTATTTTAGCAGCAAATTAACAAGTTGGACGAATTAAAGAATTTTTCAAACATCAGTTTGTGCAACTTAATAAAAAATAAACATTTTCTATTCATATTTATTAAATCCCGGATCAATTTCTTTTATTATTTAAATAGGAGACATCTTAATGTTTCAAAAAAAATAGGATTAATCTAGATTTACATATTTTAAATAGTTGGAACAAAAATAGCAAAATAAAACATATATGAAACAATGGAACGAACAAATCTCCCCTTAAAACTTTTTTATGATCAAAAATATTTTGTAAATTTCGCTATGCAAGACAGCCTTCAGGAGTGCAAACGGGTCGCCCTCCGCTGCATACCCATGTCCCAGTTTCTGTTTGATAGCAATTTGTTTTTCTTCTCGTCAAATTTTCATTATTTTCCATTTTGGAAGGAGCATTAAAAGCGACACTACTGAAGGTTACAATCACAGTCGCGATGAAAAGTATGTAAATAAGCCTCATTCAGAGGATTCCTGCGTACAAAATGGCTTATTGAGATCCCGAGGAAAGTATTTATTGCCAAGCTGACGAAAAAAAAAATATAAAATATTTATTTGTAAACTTCAAGATGTAATTTTACATATGCCGAAAATTTCTTTATTTGGAAAATCAAATTATATTAGGAGATTTAAAGTAAAGTGCAATCAGAGAATGAAGCGATAAATAAACGATATATCTGGTTATTCATCCAAGCAACCACTTGGAACAAACACATGCGCAAGCTAGTCAACTCAATAGCCACTATTTTTATTTTTCTGTGGCACCCACACCACAAACACGTTAAAATGAAATCTTTATTAATTTGCTTATATAATATATAAACTATACCCTTATGTTTGTTTAAGGACTGAGTATTAATAAGTATCTGAAGCTGTAAAATAAATAATGGTAATAATACCAATCAGTATGCATTTGTAAAATCATAAATCACGGCCTCATGCGCAATCAAAATAAATTGTATAATAATTTTACCACGATGGATGTTTTATCTATTATATGCATGCACTATATTTGGTATAAATGAGAAAAGGTCCAATCGAAAATTTTCAAAAAATTTTTTCTCAAATATGTATATGTAATCGGTACGATATGAATCATTTCATTTCGATATAGCGAATGAATTTAAAATTATTTTTTGCATTTCTTTATTATATAATTTTTTATAATAAATTTAATTTGACAAACATGCTGTTGTGTCAAATATTATCCAAGATATAACTGGCACTTATAAAAGATGGATATCATGAATTCTATGGAAAAAAAAAGACCTAAAAAAGCTTGATACAAAGATTCAATCCTCTATAATATTGATATCTATACAACGTGATATCTGTATACCTGGTATATCTTCTTCTCTTATACTATTATTTATAACATTGTAATAACATCAAATACTGTATATTAAATGTGATATATTAATTATTACAAATCTTTAAATCTTATTTATAAAATCCATTTATTTTAATAAATCAGATAATTAATTAAATTATTTACTAAAATTATTATTAAATTTTACGATAATTATTTAATATCATATATTGAAATATTATATCTTTTAATTTAAACACTCGGACATTACTAATTAAATTAATCGGAATAAATATGGGTTCGTTATTAAAATACATTAAAAGAATTAAGTGTTTATTGTTTTAAATTTATTTTCGGAATATATTAAATATCCAAGAAATTTCTGGTGAACACATTTCATAATTGCTAACACTTTTAAATGTGCAATATTATTTTCAAGAAAAACTGCATCAACTTCCAAATTATTAGTTAAGTATTGTGTTGTATAACCGTTGAATGTTTACATAATGTCTAAAATTTAATTATATTATAATAAATATTTCTCAAAAACTAAAATTTAAACAGAAAATAAACATAAAAAATGTAATTCAAATTTCGCTACGTTGCTATTCCATATACATGTTACAGTACAGTCAAACCACCCCTTGTCCATAGTGAAAATTTGAAAGGAATAAGCATTTAAAGAGGTTTATATTTAATTTTTATATAAACTCTGAGAACATCCATTTAGAGTATTGACTGTATAAGTTAAATCATACATGCTTTTTATTCTAAACTTTAAATAATTCATTTTCTTTAAAACAAAAATAATAATAACAAACACCGAGTAAGGTTCAAATAAAAATTATTAATTTTAGATATTTTAATCGGAAATCATGATCTTAAAAAATTCTCCCAAGAAGCTGGCTATCTGAATCTATACATGACAAATCTAGACCTATAATTTTAATAAATTTTATTTTGTGAAAACTTTAGTTCAAATAGACTTTATGGTATAATCGTTCAAAGGAGTGTACCGCGAAAGTTTCAATGTTCCGACAGTGGCAAAACCCTTTGATATTAAAAAGAGATTTTCAATTAACACTCAAAATAAATCCTTTTTAAAATCCTTATTATACCGGGTATATTTGAGGTAATTTGGGAACTATATCGTCTAAATCATGTCATGAATCGACATTGATAATCTTCTTGAAATTGTCTTATGGAAAATTTAAATGTTACATTCTGAATAAAATATAAAAAAGCTAGAGCTAACTTACACACGTTTATTATTACCCTTTCTTTAATGAACGATATTTATACTTGAAAAAAAAAAAAAATTTTTTTTTCGTTTATGATTGGTAATTTTATATATTAAGAAATGATTATCATTTTTATGATTGGGTAATTTTAATTATATAATGATAATCGTTTTTTTTTTTTTGTTTTTTTTTTTCCTTTGATTTCTTTGATTTACGTTTTCAAAATGTCGGCGCGATTTTTTATAAATTGAGTCAAAGCTTAATTGAAATTTTGGACGAAGATGAATATTATGATATTACAATTGAAGTTGGAGAATATCCAAATGTGAAAATATTCCGTGCACATATGATTATTTTATGTTGTCGTTCTCCATTTTTACGTAGAACTTTGGCTACCAATAAAAAGAATGATGGTACCTTGGCTCATATCAAATTACCAAATATTACACCTAGTATCTTTCAAATTATTTTGAAGTAAGTTATGTTTAAAATTTCAAGTGTACAATAATTTCTATTAAAAGTTACTAAAAAATTTTTGTTACTCAGGTACGTTTATGGCGGGATAATTTCATTAAATGAGTATGAGACTTCAGATGTTTTAAAAGTATTGGTTGCTGCTGATAAGCTATTACTTCAAGAACTAGTTGAATATGTACAAAAATATTTAATTAATATTAAGCCTGAATGGATTTTACAACATTTTGAAGTCACACATCGAGCAAGCTTTCAATCCAATTCTTTATTTAAACTTCAAAACTACTGTACAAATTTAATTGCTAAATCACCTGAAAAGATCTTTAAATCGCTTGATTTTATTTCTCTTCCTGAAAAATCTTTAATATCATTAATTAAAAGAGACGATTTACAAATGAGAGAGGTTGAAGTTTGGGATCATATATTAAAATGGGGACTTGAAAAAAATCCTACAATCGTTCAAGATCCTTTAACTTGGTCTGATGACGATTTCAAAATAATGGAGTGTACTTTACAACACTGTTTACCCTTGATTAGATTCTTTAGTTTATCTTCTAGAGAATTTTTAAACAAGGTATATCCATATAAGAAACTTGTAGGCCTTCAACTTTGTGATGAATTGCTAAAATCTTATTTGGATCCTGAAAGGGAACCAAGCGAAAATATTTTACTTCCTAGATATGGAAATATTGATGGCGTTATTGATTCAATAATTGTTAATATAAATATTGTTTCATTAATTTCAAGATGGATTGATAAAATATCTATTAATAGCAAATATGCTTATACTAGAGAAATTTATTTACCATACAAATTTAAATTATTATTAAGAGGAAGTCGGGATGGGTTTATGCCTCATAAGTTTCATGAATTATGTAATAGAACACCTAGAACAGTTGTATTCATTAAATTAAATGGAACAGAAGAAATCATTGGTGGATATAATCCTATAATGTGGAATGATATTTATAGTAAATGGGGGAAAACAAAAGATAGTTTCATATTCTCATTTAAGAATAAGAATAACTTTAAAGATTCAATTTTAAGTTATGTAAAAAATATTGATCATGCGATATATCATGACAATTATTTTGGTCCCACATTTGGAGATGGAGATCTTTTAATAAAAAGTAGTTCTTATTCATCGGCATTTGATTGTAATGTTTGTTTATTAAGGGATTATGAAAAACGGATAAGAAATGATGGTAAATTTTCAATAGAAGATTATGAAGTATATCAAATTCTAGATTCTAATTAAAACAATCTTTTAATTTTTTTGTATATTTTGATTTTAAATGTAAATAAAAAATTATTGACAATTGAATTTAAATCATTCTATTTAGCTACCTTTTAAATATTCGTTAATAATCACTTTAATACTAGAATTTTAGAAATGTTTAACGGGGATTAAAGTTTTTAATCTAATGTTTGCAATAAAATTAGAACCTGTGACCTGAACTGATGTTGACCTGAAATTTGTCTACCCAATCTGTATTTTTTAGGTCAGGTCTGGTCGGGTCATAGGTTGACCTGACCAGATTCGGAGCTCTATTTCAAAAATATAATACTTTCACAGTCTGTTTATTTTTTGATAATTTACTTATATCGCAACCCAATATTAACTAAATTCTTTTATAAGAAATAAAAATTTTAAATTTTTAATTTAAAAAATAAACCAGTGTTTTGTTGGATATTGTGAAGTGAGTATTAAACGCCTATATCATTCAAAAAAAAATTTATTTTAAATTGTACTATGAGTAATGGATTGGCACGCAACCAATTATGTTATTTCCGGCAATTCAATGGAGTAAATAATATTATGGTAAATGTTATCAATAACGATAGGAAGAAAATTTTTCACATAAATCTGAATAAAATTCGCTTAATGAAAAATGAAAAAGGAAAGATGGTATGCATTTAAATTAAAACCATGCTGATATTTACGTATACATCATATACTTCAATGTTTGAAAAGAGAGATAATTATAATCAACATCCCGGCCATATTAAATTTTTATATTCATAATGATAAAGTATTTAATTTTTTTTATATACACAAACAACACAATGCTGAGGCATATTTCAACAATCCAATTCCAGCGCCACACCCTGCTTTTTTCCTGTGCGATCCAACACGAAAGAAATTACTTAAAAAAAAAAAATAAATAAAAAAAATTAATTTGATGAAAAGACAAAATCAAACCTATGCGGCCTGAGATCAACCCAAAGAAATCGTCTCGTCTAAAAAAAATATAAAATTGGAATAATTGCTGCCAACACAGTATATAAAAAAAAAAACTTAAAAATACATTTGATGCCAAATGAAATAGCCTAAATTTCAAGAAAAAAAGTACGATTTTAAAAAAGATCTATTGACTAATACCTTACCTAAAGAAGTGATAGGTAAGAAAATAAGAGCATATTTTTTATCTTCTTGAATGATCTAGTATAAAGGTTATGAGAATACTTCAGAAACGAAAATTCAAAAAATTTTGATTTGAAGGAACAAAAAAGATATAAATTGTAATTTACTTAACTTAACTTAATATGTAGACAAGACATTTCCGACGTTATTGTAGACCTCGTACAATCTTTATATGAATGAAATTTCAGAATACTTTTTCTTTACTCTTTTATGTACAAAAAAGATATCAATATAAAATATAAAAGTTATTATTAATTTTCATGCCACTTTTCATAGTATTTTTTTAATTTGAATCTAAATAAAAATGTTATAATCGGAAAATTGATTAAAAAATTATTTCTTAATAATTATGATGAAACTACGATACAAAAATATTTTCTTTATCCAATCTCAATTAAAATTTTTAGTTTATAATTTTCTATTTATGTGGTACAAATCTAAATTATATTTATACTAAATCTAATCGATCATCATCACAATTGACAATAATTTTGATATTAATCGTTGCAAAGCTTATAAATAAAAAACAGATAAAAAAGCATTACCGCTGCAACCCTCCGCCCGAACTGAAAAGAATTGGGATGTTTGCTATTACAATCTAGTTACGATACATGGTTTCTGAAATTTATTTAATTTAATAGCAAACCGATCAATTGTGCACAAATAATTCCATTGAAAATTAGTAATGTCATTCGCAACTAACGAGTATACGTTCATATTTCTTAATGATCATTAATTATTATCAGAAAGTATTATGTAACAACCAAATTTGAACATGGCAGAGTGCATTCAACAGTTTTATTCAAAAATAAGCTTTGAAATTAATTTTATTTATAAATTTAGTTTTGATCACTAATTCATCAGTAGTCACGAAATTAAACTTTATTGTACTCGGAGACATTTCGCAGAGATAATAATTAGGATAATATAATTCAAAGCATTAAAAAAAATTTTTTTTTTTGTTTTTTTTTGTTTTATAATTTTATTAAAAAAAATTTTGAAGACTTATTTAAAATAAAATATATAAAAAATCTCGTAAGTCTGTAAATTCACGATTTCTTCATCTTACTCTTCCTCTTCTCCTGCTTCTTAACAATTCTTCTCTCGTTGGAATCGTTAGATACATCTAGATATACAAATAATGGGACCAAAAATAATAATTAATTTTAAAAAAAATAATTAAAATGTAAATTAAAAAAATATTACTTCTAAATATGCATCCTCTCCGATGATTTCCCATAAAGCTTTCCTATCTCTTTCTGGAGATAAATTATCGTTACTAGGAGGAGCTGATTCTTCTATTCTTGCAGGAGGTGCACTTTCTTCAGTCTGACAACCAACTTCATTTGTAGGCGTTTCTTCTGTTTGACAAGCAACTTTCATATCTATTTCCATTTTATAAATAAAATTAGTTAGTATATCATAATACCAGCAGGAGAATAATTAAGACAACTTCATGGTTTCTAGTCGTCATATATAAACCTCACAAAAATTTTAAGCACAAAAATACTATAGGGTTTTAAACCAGAATGAATGAAACACACAATCAGACATCGTCATAGGTTTCTGGCCATCCTGTATAAACCACACAAGAAAATAAAATTCATAGGGTTTTAAACCAGAACGAATGAAACACACAATCAGACATCATCATAGGTTTCTGGTCGTCCTGTATAAACCACACAATAAAAATTAAAATCCATAGGGTTTTTAACCAAAACGAATGAAACACACAATCAGACATCATCATAGGTTTCTGGTCATCCTGTATAAACCACACAAATAAATTAAAATCCATAGGGTTTTAAACCAGAATGAATGAAACACAAAATTAGACATCGTCATAGGTTTCTGGTCGTCCTGTATAAACCACACAATAAAAATTAAAATCCATAGGGTTTTTAACCAAAACGAATGA